CCCATAGGAGAAGCTTGGCTCCCAACAATATCTGTGCATTTATTCCCTTGCTCCATTCTATAGAACATCGAAAATAGTTTCAGAATTGATTTGCTCACAACACTACAGAAAACAAGCCTGCTAAAAAGACTTCAGAATTTGTTTGCTGCTACTCTTGCTTCACCTTTACGCAAGACTGGGTGTGTGCCATCCAGTTCTGTGTGTATGTTATTTGATAGTTTTTTCTCCTCCACCTCTTTAGCAAGTGTGCTTACGATGTCCGTTTAACATACAATTGAATTGATTTGCTTCCGTCTACTTTTAGTTTTACGCTCACCCTTCCCTTCCCTATTAATTTATTTTTTTTCAGATAGGTAGAACATTAATATGCTTCCAAATGTGGGAATTATGCAAAAAGCTGTATCCTGAGAAGTATCACCCTCTGCCACATCCGTTTCACCCTGACACCCAGTCACATCACCACTAAGTGATGAAAAACAACTTTCGTGTTATCTGGTTTGTTTATCCTGTGTATCTTTTTATAAAGATAAAGGTAGCATGCTATAGACTGAGCTAGGCTTTTTAATGCCCAAATCTCATTTATCTTCTAAATCTCACATACTTGGTGGTGGTATTCCCATTTTACGGATGAGGAAACTGAGGCTTCTTGTCTGTACTGTTATAAACCTTTGGGCCTTGTTGATAAATGTCCCGTTTTCTATGCTTTACACCTTGGATGAAGCTAAGACAGACATCAAATCACAAAACATGCCAATAGTGACATAGAGTTTTAATGCATGCCGTTACTGCCACACAAACTCAAAGTCTTGGTTTTGGGAAAACTACATTTTCATCTGTTTTTTAGCACTACGTTATGTTTTTAAACTGGAATTTCCTGTGGCCTTAGTGTTGTCACACAAGGCTCATATCAGGTTGGGAGGGGTTTTGTTTTGTTTTTCTAATTGGGTGAAATTCACATGACATAAAATTAACCATTTTAAAGTCATATTTATTGTAGTCACGATGTTGTGCAACATCACCTCTGTCTGGTTCCAGAATATTTTCATCACTCCCAAAGAAGACCCCATACCCATTAAGCAGTTCCTCAGCCTTATGCCCCTCCCATAGCCCCTGGCAACCACTGATCTGCATTCTGTCTCCAAGGATTTGTCTATTTTGAATATTTCATATAAGTGAAGTCATACAATATGCAACATATTTTGTCTAACTTACTTGGCTTGCTGTTTTCAGGGTTTATCCACATTGCAGTGTGTATCAGTACTACATTTCCTTTATACGTTGAGTAATAGTCCATGGTACAAATATTTTGTTTTTTCATTCACCCACTGATGGAAATCTGGGAGGGCTTTGAGTGAAGTTGGAGAGACGAGTGTGTTGTAACTTGCCCTGTGCTGTACTATTTACTAGCTATGTGACTTTGGACAAGCTCCTAAGCTGGCTTGTGCCTCAGTTTCCTCATTTGTTTAATGTAGATAATTATATTGGACTCTTCAAATAGTTGAATGAATTGCATCAAATAATGCCAGAAAAACTTATAGCATAGTACTTGGCAAATAGTGAGCCCTCAATAAGTAATAGATGTTTTATTGTGGGATTATATGAGGAAAGGGGGAAAGAAAGAACGTAAATGTGTATTATAGTATGTGTTTACTGTGTGTTTGTTCTGTTGTAGCTGCTGAAACCTTCATGCTTTGTTTTAAAAAAAAAAGGCATATCTGTTTTCTCTGCTTTGTGGTTTGGTGTTTTTGGCCCCCACCCCATCGCTAAACATGAAATTTTACATTTTAGAAGCAGTTCACTAGACAGAATGTCTGTAGTGGAATGTTACATAATTCACATTTAGATTTGAAGAGCTCATTATAAAAAACCTGACACACTTCAGGAATATTAAATTACTGCAGATTGTGTGGAGCAAAGAAATATTATTGAAGCATTTCAAAATTCCAGGCAAGCCTGAATTTAACTGATAGGGTTTCACAGCTTTCACTGGGGAAAATGATTTGAGTTGTCACATGGTTTCTGGCCCTGGAGGACTTTAATCTCCTTAATTACAAAGAAGCGAATTTCCTAAATAATTTGGAGTTACTTCACAGCATTTGCTCAACCTCTGCCTTTTGGAAAATTAAAGGGGATGCCAGGGTCCATACTGGGTACGTTCTCACAGTACTGTAGCTTCCTTATTTAAGTTTTTATTCAGAATCATGGTGGTTTCCTTTCATTATTGATGTAGGGATGTACTTCAGAAATTCACAAGTAATGCTTGTAACACTTGAACATAATCATATTTTGTTGAACAAGCATCTTTGAAGATAGAAATAGGGAGAGATGCTATATTGTGATTTAGAAGGTTGAAGAAGAGAAAATGGCCCAAATCCAATCCAGTTTTATACACTGATTTTAAAAAATTCTTGAAAATGTGTAAAATCCATATATTTCAGCTACTTTCTGAATTTATAGATTAGGCACCTACTGTGTCCAAGACCAATATGATACCATTTCCTACAATTCATCCTCAAACAGCAAAATTAACTTGAATCAGTTTCTTCCTTTGTAAAGGGGAGATAATACAGACTTTCGATCACATACCAGCCATGTGGCCTTGAGCAAGTGGCACAGGAATTTATGTGCCTAATATTTATTAAATGCTTACCAGGAGGCGTGCCAGACACTCTTCCAATCACATTACGTGTGTGATCATACTTGATTGCCACAACAGCTCCGCCAGTGGGCACTATTATCCCCAGTGTACAGATGAAGAAACTGAGGCAAAGACCAGGTTGAGTAACTTCCTCAAATCATGTGGCTTGTAAGTGGCTGAAACTGAAGTTGTCCAAAAATCAAATCATAAAATAAGTTGGGAGAGAGTCTGTTTTGCTACGGAGATCAAAACATCTTTCTGCCTGTGATGTCTCTTCGAACTGAACCTTGAGGAGTCAATAGAATGTCAAGGCAGACTTGAGACAAGAGATTCCATAGAAAGATAGCAGCACAAGGAAAAACTGGGAAGATGGGGAAGTGCATCACCTCCCTGCTAGACTTGTGCCTCCTTTTACTTGTTTGGTTGTTGATTTCACTCCTCCTTGCTTTTATACATGCTGATCTTTCTGCCTGAAACAACTATTCATTCATTCATTCATTCTACATATAATTATTGAGAAGCTGTTGGTCCTTTCCCTTATTGTCCTTTTGACAGAAACATTACTCTTCAACATCTCACAGACTAGGGCTTATCCTCTGAAGCTTTATTGACCCTTCCAAGCAAAGATGAATACTTGCATCTTTCTGCCCCGTATGCCTGGTATTTATATGCCTGTTTTAGTTTTGGTCACATATGTGTGTTGCCATCCCTTACATGACTGATACCCCTGTTAGATTGAGCTTCTTTGAGAATAGGAACCAGCCTTTGACTACGTACTCTTGGCCAGTATGGCTACTTGGTAAATATCTGTTAACATGAATGAGCTAGCATTTGTACCTGGTCCATAGTAGATTCTTAGTAAATACTTGCTGCAATGAAATGGTAAATATTATTAATAAATTTGATTATGTTTATACATGACCAAATTTTGTGACTCTGTCATCTTCCATTGAACGTTGTCTTAGAGACAAGGGGCTGGAAAGGGTGTGGGGGCTGGTGGCAAGGTATAGATAGATGGTATAAAAGTGACAGGATAAATTCTCATTTTCTGTGTACGATTTCATGGACCCTGTTTTACAAAGATAACTTTCTGTTTTTCTTAGTTGTAGCCTTAGATTCACTAGATCAAGTACTTTCATTTGGGCCATTTCCTTTTTAAAAAATAGTTAGCTTATATATAAATAAAACAAAACAGATATCTTTGGATTAAGGTGGGAATTTCCTCATATCCAAGCTTTACTATAATTTTACATGGCTTTTATATTAGACTTTCTGGTTAAGATTAACTAGATTGTCATGATTAACAGGTTTGGGTCATTATTATTTTTGAACTGAAACTGGCATTCGAGGTCAGTCGTTTTCTATTAAACCGTTCTAGATCTGTGGGATGAACTAAGAATTGGCTGCACAATTCGAAGATCCATTTCTAATAGCTTTTTCTTAATACTTTTCAAAAGTGGAAATTGGTGAAATGTTTACTTTTTAATAGAACTCTCATATAACTATCAGATAGTCACAGGAAAAGACTATTATCAAAGAGAATACTGTATATTCGTTTAATTTGAATGAGACCAAGTGAGATACTATATGTGAAGCAGTAGCTAAGGGCATAGTATATAGTAACTATTACCTGTAAGTGAAGTGGTTGTATTATCTTTATTATCATTATTCTCTTCCTAGCACAGTGTTTGAGTTTAATAGCACCTGGTATTGTTCAATGCATATTTATTAGAGAATGAATGAATGAAATCTGTGTCTGCCTGTTTCTTTTCTTTTTCTCTGCACATTAAATGCTTGTCTGCTCTTATAGCTGGAGGAAAAGTTGACATAAAATTGGCTTGCTGGAAAGTTTCTCGGCCCCATTTGTCACCTTACCCTTGGAGTCCAGTTTTATGTCAACTCTATGCCCCCTCTGATGCCTGCCAGTGAGGGACAGACCACAGGTCACTTCCATATGATCTGCTTTTGCTGCCAAGGCGCTGATCAAGCTTGGCTGATAGACGGGTGCTCTCTTGGAAATATCTCCATGGGGCTGGCCATACCTTTGCTGTATGTTCTGGTTGGGATCTGATGCTTGAAAATAAGAAACACAGAAAACAGAGTTGGGTTTTGTCCCTCTTATAAATCTAGACTTTTAAAGATCTATATTGAGTTACCTAGTTTGAGAAGCAGTTTTGCCACTATAAGCCTCTCATTCCCTTTGCTGTATAAACCCTATCAATGCCTTCATGAAACCATGGGAGCAGTTTTTGCGTGAAGACCAAGATTTTGTTTGTATATGTTTGCCAATTCACTTTTTTAAAATGTCTGTTTAACTTTGTAACAGTGATGATTCTGAATGTTCTCTTGCCTTGATTTGCAGCACTCAAGAAGAGTGAATGAAATGTGTAGCTCAGAGTGTCATTTCTGAAGGGAGGAGTCTTTCTCTTGGAGAAGAGTCCTCAATGAGCCTGGCCAAGGCCCGGGATCTGTGTGAAGTGGACTAAGGATTAAGTAGGATGTCAACTGAGACAGAACTTCAAGTAGCTGTGAAAACCAGCGCCAAGAAAGACTCCAGAAAGAAAGGTAGGGCTGAATTTGACCTTTTTTTTAAATGGCTACTCTTCTGCACAGGAATGAGTTTTTAAATCTCTGGAATGATAGAAAGAAATATCTTTATGATTGCAAATATTTTTAAATAGTCATTTTGTGTGTTTTGTATTCATAATATAATAATGTAATGGTTCATTATTCTCCAGATAAAATCCAAAACTTTTCTGCACAGGAATGAGTTTTTAAATCTCTGGAATGATATAATCTCTGGAATGATATAAATAAATATCTTTATGGTCACATGTATTTTTAAATAGTTATTTTGTGTGTTTCGTATTCATAATATAATAATGTAATGGCTCTTCATTTGTATCCATAATATAATAATGTATATAATATAATAATGTAATGGCTCTTCATTACTCTCCAAACAAAATCCAAAACTTTTCTCATAATATACAAAGTTTTTCTGCATATGCCTTCTATCCATCCCTCCAGCAACATCTCTGCCTAACCTCCCACTTCCCCATCCCTGTTTACCCTCCAGACATCCTGTAGTTCATCGTTACCTGTACCAGTGGTTGTCAAACTCTGGCTGAACCAGAATCACTGGAAGGGCTTGTTTAAAGCCTTCATTTCTGAGTCTCATCCCAAAGTGTCAGATTCGGTGTCTAGGGTAGGACGCAAGACTTTCCTTTTAAAACAACTTCCTAGGTGATGCCAGTCCTGCTGGTCCAGAGACTCTACTTTAAGAACCACTGGACTCTTAATCCAGCCTGAAATCCTTTTTGGTTGCCCTTTGTTGTTGTTGTTGTTGTTTTCTCTGAACTGACTCCTGCTTATTCACTAGGTTTGAGTTTAGGGGAGCCTCCTGGGGGAGCCTTTTCTTACTCCCAAAATTGACATAAATGTTTTTATTTGTTTTGTTTCATTAGTACTTGGTTAGTGTTTCACTTTATTAAAAATGTCCTGCATAAACTCCTTTGGAGCTAGATGTTTTGTTCACGTTTTAAGTCTCAGCACTTAGGAAGTGCTTGGCAGAGAGAAGCCAGAGATATCTGGCAATGAAGATTTGCAGGCATAGTGTGATAATAAAGTAATTCTATCACTTTTCATGTTTTCTGGAGAATTTAGCCCCATGGCTTTAGGACCATGTTTTTCAGTAAGCTTCACCCCCTGCCAATTAAATATGAGCAACTTCTTTCTCTGTGTGTGTGTGTTTTCTCCCTGTAGTTTCTGCTCTCTCTCCCTTGTTTTCTCAGCTGCATGGGAGGGGATTGACAGAGCTCTCTTTCAGGTCTTGAAATCTGTCAATGTGGGCTTGCAAACCGGGATGCCTTTGACTTCTTTGTATAGACGGTGATTTGTTTGAGACATCACTGTGCCTGCCCAGTTATGTTTTGTGATGGCATTTGTCTGGCACTCTATATGAAGTAGGGGACATAACTGTAATACATATGCAGCTCTTGGACAGCCAGAAGCCCAGGAAAGACTATAAATTTTGCTTTTGATGTTTATTTGAAACACAAATATTTTGGAGGCAGTCTATTTCGTTCCCTAAAAATTAATGTAAACCTGTTTTCTATGCATCATGGTCTAAGAATAATAGAAAGAAAGTGGGTAAAAGAACATGTCTTGGGAGACTGCTATGTGGGGGGAAAAAAAAAAAGAGGTCGCAGAGTCCAGTATGTACTAGAATTTAAATGCTTTTTCAGTGGAAACTGACAAGTTATATTTTTGCCTCAAATTTAACCTTTCCACCAAACCTGCACTCTTGAATGCTTAATGCATTAAAAATGTTATCTTAGTGCATATTTTTTCATTCTTAATTTTAACATGCAAAACCAGAAGCATTCTGCAGAGAGGATTCAGGTTTTCAGGACATTGGCTCAGTTGGGGATTTGGGATAACAGCGTGAAGGTGACCCTTCTAGAACCTCCTCATCTTCATGTCCTAAAAAAACTCTGAAATCAACATAATACATATGTGAGGAGTGTCCTCCAGGGAGTGGTTAATACCATGGAATTTGGGTAGGCAGAGCTGGATTCAAATTCTGGCTTTACCACTTTCTCACTGTGTGACCTTTGAAAGCATTTAACCTGAGCCTCATTTTCCTCTCTTATAAAATGGGTGTATAATATTACTGACTTCAAAGGCTCACTATGAAGATTAATGAAAATAAGGCAAATAAAATACTTAATATATTACTCGCCATATATTAAATGCTCAACAAAGGTTAGCTGTGATCTTCTTCCTCTTTTTCCTCCCTTTTCCTTTTCTCCTTCTCTTCTCCTCCCTTCCCTGTCATCTTTCTCAATTTCCCTCCTCTCCCCTCTTTTCTCTTTTTCTCTTCCTTCATCATTCATCTTGTCTTAATTAGCTTGAGCTGCCATAAGAAAGTACCATAGACTTGGCAGCCAAAACCACAGAAACATGTTTCCCACAGATCTGGAGGCTAGAAAGTCTAAGATCAAAGTGCCAGCCAGTTTGGTTCCTGGTGAGGGCTCTCTTCCTGGCTTGTAGATGGTCATCTTCTCAGCATGTCCTCACATCTGTAATCCCAGCTACTTGGGAGGCTGAGGCAGGAGAATCACTTGAACCTGGGAGGCAGAGGTTACGGTGAGCCAAGATGGTTTCATTGCCCTCCAGCCTGGGTGACCGAGTAAGACTCGGTCTCAAAAAAAAAAAAAAAAAAAAAAAAAGAGAGAGAGAGAGAAAATGTGCTGGTAAGCATTAATTCATTTCTTGTTCTTCAGTTTTGATGATGTAATAGTATTTCATTAAACAAATGTTGCTAACTTGGACAAAATTAATACAACTTTAAAAGGAATAAACAGTTTATATACTGATATTGAATCTTGAATATAACCGTGTCGTTATGCTCTTTTATTACTACTACTTTCTCCAGCTATGCTTGGATTTTCTATGGAGACAGCATATAACCTGCAAATAAATTTCTCATCTATCCTTAAGTACGTAGTCTTTTTCTCTCTAATTGGCTAGATCTGTCATTATAATATTTAGTGATAGTAAATGTCCTTATCTTGTTCCTGATTGCTTCTAGATTACATTTAAGTGACGCTTAAGTTTTTACTAAAGATAGTTTTCTGGCCGGGCATGGTGGCTCACGCCTATAGTCTCAGCACTTTGGGAGGCTAAGGTGGGTAGATCGCTTGAGCTTATGAGTTTGAGACCAGCCTGGGCAACATGATGAAACCCTGTCTCTACCAAAAAAAAAAAAAAAAAATGCAAACAATGGCCAAGCATAGTGGCGCATGCCTGTAGTCCCAGCTACTTAGGAGGCTGAATTGGGAGGATGGCTTGAGCCCGTGAAGGGGAGCTCGCAGTGGGACACAATCGCACCACTGTACTCCAGCCTGGGCAATAGAGCCAGACCTTGTCTCAAAACAAAACACAACAAAATAAAACATATTTATTAGTTCCCCTTTAGGTATTATTTTCTAGGAAGTATTTTTAAATTCTAAATTTGCATGCTGAATTTTATCATATGCTTTTTCTGTATTTATTTCAATGATTATACGTATTTTTCCTCTTATAATTTATATTGTGGTGGATTTAACTGATAGATTTTTAAATCTTCATTTCTGGGGTAAATCTTACTTGGTCGTAATGCTTTTATTTTCTACACCCTGGTGGATTTGATTTGTTAGGTTAAGAAATGTTTTTTTGTATCTATATTTACCAGCAAGATTTGTTAGGTTGAGGAATGGTTTTTGTATCTATATTTATCAGCAAGATTGGTGTGTAACTTCTTTTCTGGGACAACCCTTGTGTCTGGTATTAGTTAATATTATATTCTCATATAATTATTTTTATCAGTTAATATTATGTCCTCATATAATGATTTTTGGTAGGGATGAAACGCTGAATAATATTTAGGACTATTTCTGGAAAATATTATCTTTTTTTTTTACATTTATTTAACTTTTTAAAAGCTGTATGTGCTTATTGCTGAAATTAGAAAGGACAAACAAAAATAACTACTATTAACAACTGAAGTTACATCCTTAAACTGGCCTTCCAGGATAATATGTGGTTGACATCATACTCTTCATACAATTTCATGTCCTATTTTGTTATTTGATATAAGTGTATTTCCCATATTATTACCTGATATTACAAAATAGAAGTGTTTTTTCCCCCCTATTATTAAGATTTAGATGACTCCAGGGGCAGATATTTTAATTCCTGAAAAAAGAATACCTGACAATTTGGGTCATCTATTGTGGGAAAGAGTGGCATAAAGAAAGTTAAGAGGCCCTTTAGAGTTCTTCACAAGCCTATCACCCTAGTTCTTTAACTCGAGCTGTTGAAAGCAAGCCAGACGGTTTCAAATACAAGTCACACAGGGGCATATTTCATCACAAAATGAGTTTCTAGGCAGGCTATTTATGAAATGTAACTAGAGTATTCACAATTCAAGTAAGGGATGCAAGTAGTGAAAAATAAAGTTTTTTTTTTCCATTTTATTTGTATTGGGTTGTGTCACTGCACATACAGCTTGTCAAATGGTGCCCATTCCAGAAGTGGAATTTGATGGAAGGCCCGAGGAAAATAATGTATATTTTCAGGTTCGTTACCTGCCATCAAAGGAGGACAATCAGTTGACACTATTCTTGTTATTTGTAATCTCCGTATTAGGGCACTCAGTGGAAGATCATGGTAGAGGAATGTGTCCCATGATGAATAGATAGATATTTCTGGGGGCAGTGCCTGGAGTCTTCCAGTCAGTGCCATCTGTCAGCTTAGTGTAGTGGAAAGAGTACTGACTTCGGACCACAGCAGACCTGGTTTTTAGTTCTAACTCTTCTCTTTATATGCTGTGTAACTAGAGACAGGTTAGTTAGCCTCCTTGAGCCTGGTTTCACTTATCTTTAAAGGGAGGTGTGTGTGTGTGTGTGTGTGTGTGTGTGTGTGTGTGTATGTGTGAATATTTTCACTTGTCATAGAAAGGTGAGGGGGCTGGGTGCGGTGCTCACGCCTGTAATCCCAGCACTTTAGGAGGCTGAGGC